CCGAAATGATACATATTTTGGCATCCCATACACTTTACACCGTCTTCTGATATTTCATCTTCACATAGATTGCACATATTCATATTTGTGGTGATAGAAAATCGAACTATGGTTTCACAAAAACACTAAACAACTCTTGATAACCTGAGCAACGAGAGGTACACGAGAACACGTCCACTCGGTACGAGTGATACGGTACGAATAATGTAATAATAATAATAATAATAATAATAATAATAATAATAATAATAATAATAATTTCATAATTGCCCAATTGCCCTTAACAATACATTTTATTTGGACATTCGCCAGTGAAAAGTAAGGATGAAGAGTCAAAACACTATTTCAAAATTGTATTGCCAAGAAATGTAGGCGACTCCGGTTTTAGTGGACCCTCGGTTAAAGTGAACTTAAAACACTAGTAGTTTCACGTACGTTACAAATAAGCACAAGAAAATTAGAATATATTGAACCTGAATATCGGCTATAATGATTATAGGAAATATTACGTCCTAGACATTAATTCACTCTAAGAAAGAAAGAAAGAAAGAAAGAAAGGAAAAAAGAAAGAAAGGAAGGAAGGAAGAAAGGAGGGAAGAAAGAAAGGAAGGAAGGAAGAAAGGAAGGAAAAAGGAAGGAAGAAAGGAGGGAAGGAAGGAAGGAAGAAGAAAGGAAGGAAGGAGGAAGAAGGAAGGAAGAAGAAAGGAAGAAGACAGGAAGAAGACAGGAAGAAGACAGGAAGGAAGGAAGAAGAAAGAGGAAGTAAGAAAGAAGAAAGAAAGACAGGAAGGAAGGAAAAAAGAAAAAAAAAACATATCATCGTCGAAAGGTGAAGGTCAAAATCGAAGAAGTCTCCCCTGGTGGTGAAGGTAAAGGACCAGCAAGAGCACTTTACTGGTGACCTTGTGCAACACAATTTCGTTGCAGAAATGAAGACCATGTTCTGCTTGGACCACATCAGGCAGTGTCTCATCACGTGATTCTTCTCTTCAGTTTCAATGTTGCTGTTATTTGGTATTCTGCGGTGGAAGGCGTGTTGTTGTGTGTAAGGGACTGACGATATTTGCCCTACAGCACAGAAAAGTGAGCAGTTTCATTAGCCACTTGCGCCATCCCGCCACCAAAGAAATCTCATATAGGCGAGTAAAAGGCTCTTCACAGAATGGACTGTATTGAAACAGTGCAAAAGGCATTGAAGGGTGTCAAGGCTTCATTTCAATACTTAGACACAGAGGACAATGTAGAATTAAGTATGAAGAGATCACAAACTAGAGAAGCATCTAGAGAAATTTCAAATGAAAAAGAATGAAGCAAACAATTGCAAATAATTTTTTTTTTTAGGACAAAGATTATAAAGTTTTCAATTCCTTTTCTTAATATATTTTACTTCATCTCTCTATATTAATAAAATCAATTATTAAAGAGAAATTTTAACACTTGATACAAATTAATATACAGCTTGTAACTGCTTATCAAAGTTTACTAGAATATAAGATGATGAATTTAAAATTTATAATAAAAATACAAACAAGACCAAACATTTTTGTCTATCTATTTTATATTATTATGTAAAGTGGTATCATCTTACATTAAAGACAATTAAATCAATTCATATTTGAAACAGTTATTTTATTGTCATCTATGCTCTAATCATGTTTCCTAACCCAATTGGATGCATCATCAGGTGTGCAGTACGGCTTTAAACAATTACAAATGTTTTTCATTCATCGTAAAGTTTATAATTTGGAATAACTTTATAAACAATGCAAGAATTAAAAACAAAATTATAATTGAAATTTTAAGTACATTATCAAAGAAGAAAACAAGAACTGTGTTTGTAACAAAATCTCTAATGGTATAAAATTTTAAATATTTAAATAAGAAGCTCAAATCTCACCCGAGACGAAATTGTCTTGTCTCGGGTGAGACTTTTGTCTATGTATATGGTAATATATAGTAATGCCAAAGCTGTAATTTGTTATAATTTTTGACAAACATCATATTAACATTACATATCACAGTTACAATGATTTAAACCATGATTTACCGGGGGAAAATCGATTTAAATCAAAGATATTATTTTTGTAGTGTGAAAACTTGTGTATATCTTGTTTCTATGCAATTGTGCTCTTGACATTCTTTGAAGCACATCCATATATTGTAGATGTGGTACTGGTATTGTGTTCACCCACTAATTTTGAGTTCCTAGTGAATATTTTCATTTCTCTATGTTTTTTAATTTGTTGAGAATATATAGACGTGAGTCTCCTAGTTCCTTAAGAAGTGTTGAGTGCACTATGTAATAATCATTCATTAGCATTTACCATTTTTGGAGTAATCCTCCATCTCAACCACCTTCTAGGGGCCGCTGAGTAGTCGTGGTCATGTTAGTCGCAGTCAAGTCAGGAAATCACTTACATGTAGAGTCTTTGCGCTTGCGTGTCACATGCTGTAAGCCATCAACCCATCGGCCAGAATTTGAAGGACTAAGGATAGGGGTAAGGTTTAAGACACTTCTTAGGGAGTTGGACTAGCCTCTGTCAAGCTGGCATATTCATTTCATCGTAACAAATGCCACGTGAGTGGAAGGATGAGACAATTTTACTTGGAACCTCAGTGGTGAAAGGCAAGCAACTTTCGCCCTGAGGCAGGAGAGCACCAAGATTAAGTTTGATACCTCTAACCCTTTGTAACGGTCTTAAATTATGTTTTTATGAATATTGTTATTTACTATAATTTTACTTTACTTGGAAGCTGAAGGTTATTGATTCAGTGTTCCATGATCAGACTGTTTTCTGGAAGAGAAAAATAGACAAAAACACCAGATGTAATTTTTCCCTTTGGCCATGTTGGAGTCTATGCTATAAGAAAATAATGTTTCTAGCATTAATGTCTGTAATGCAACTTCTCTACATAGCTAACATGTAATATTAGTAATATCTTAATATTGTTATCAGGGAAGAGAGTAGTGATGAAGAAGACCCGCCTAAAAAAGGAAAGAAAAAGGAAGAGAAGGAGGCAGATATCGGGAAGGTAGTATGTGTGGAGTTGGGTGATAAGAAGAAACAGAAAGATAATTGGTTTCCTGGTCTGGTGGTTGCACCCACAGCTCAAGATGCAGTGCGTATTAGAGTTAAAGATGAGTACCTGGTGCGCTCATTTAAAGATGGACGCTAGTGAGTATTTATACCAAAAAGCAAACATAATTTTATTTGTGGATATTCCATAAAGTTTAAAATGCACAAATTTCATTCTTTGTGCATTGTTCCTGATGATGCTTATTCTGTTACAGTTTTACGGTGCCAAAGAAAGAAGCTACAGAATTTACGAGAGAAATTGGTAATAAAGTGGATAATCACACTCTTAAAGCTGCTGTCGAAAAAGCTCTTCAGTATCTGGACCAGGATGAGCTGCCTCCACATTGGGATCGTGATCTGCTTTTTGGTCTTGATGAGAGCAGCGGAAACAGTGACAGTGATGGAGCTTTGGATTCAGATGTAAGGAAATATTTCAGTCAGAATATCCAATGCCTTCACAATTATTGACCATTTTTATTTTCTTCTTTCTTGATTTTTTCAAAATTTAGCCTAATTTTTAACAAGTAATTTGAAGAATTTATTTATTAAAAATATATGTAATGTTGGTTACAAGGTACATATATTTCATTAAATATAACCAAATATTGAATTTGTTCACCTCAGCATGAGTATTTGTGTTAACAAAATTTTATTCTCATCTTTTTGTATAATTTAATATAGTATCATATTTTACCCATTACAAATTTTGTTACATTTTTATCATATTATATCATGTGAGAACAAAGCATCTCAAATACGAGGATTAATTTGACAATTTTCTTCCTGGGATCTATCTTTCTGTTAAGCAAAGCAACACGTTTGGGTGTTATTAAAAGTTGTTGAAGACATTAATATTTCTTTGAAGTTAGGTCTTGGTGATGTGTGTGTGGTTGCTAAGGAACTAATATGAAGTTTTAAAATCCATATATTGATTTTAAATTTCACTAAAAATATGAGAAACCTTATTTGTGGTGAAACATAAGAAATTCGGAATTTGATCTCACATTGGCTCAGATTTCATCTTTGAAATGTGCTCTGTTTGCAACGTGCATCATAGAAAGCATTTCCTGCACTGAAAAACCTTTGTTTATGACAAACAATTAAATTTGACAGACAAAATGTGGAAAAATCGTTATTGTTCTCTGTTACAAAAGGCAATAAAACCGAAAAGATAACTAAAATATGGCTATGGATATTTGTCAATTTTTAATCTGCATCATGCAAGTTTGCATACATATTTAAGCATCTGATAGTGCATGGAAATCCTGTCTCTAAGATTTCTACACTTGAAATATCGAAATCAGAGTCCATATCAAGACTAATAAGAATGCACAGCATTCCAAAAGTTTCTCTCTTAGTCATTGTTCCCCTCAACAGCTATAACACTATTTAAAGATCCACTTTTTGACTGCAGTTTTACTCACACTGCTCACATTGTAACTACATAATTGAGAAATGACTTTTGGTTTCTGTTGCCAAATTAAATTCAAAAGAGTTGTTTATAGCAAACTGTGTTATTTAAGTATATTTTTAATATGTGAAAGTTATTGACTTTTATGTCACAACTTTACTGATTTTCAATTTTTTCACCTATTTCTTCTTAATTTTCCTACTCTTGTGCATTAATTGTAATGTTCTTAAGAAAGTGTTATGAACTGAATATTTCTCTTGTTTTTGTGAATTTCATCTATTCTCTTTAGTGATTTTTGCTCTGCACATTCTAATTTTGATTCCAGAGTTCTGATGATGAGCCGAGAGAAGAAAAAGATCATTTTGTAGCACAACTGTACAAATTTATGGATGATCGAGGAACACCTATTAATCGAGGTCCTACAATCGGCAGCAAGGATGTGGATTTATATAAACTTTTTAAGGTTACTTATAATTGTTATAAATATTTGATTTTATTAAATTGTATTGTGGTGAAGTAATTGTATTTTTTGATTGTGTAAATTTTTACAACAGTATAATTTATAATTTTTATAGTTTTTTACGTAATATATAATTTTTTTTACGATTCTTAGGTGGTGCATAAACGAGGGGGTTATAATAGAGTTACTAATCATAACCAATGGAAGACAATCTCTCAAAAATTAGGTTTTGGTCAAGGCAACTCTAGTGTTACAAATATGGTAAAACAGTCTTACAAAAAGTAAGTAAATTTTGTTTCTCTATTTATATATGAAACAGAAGTGAAAAGCTAATGTTACTATATTTAAAACAATATTTTTGCAGATTTTTACATAGTTTTGAGGACTTTTACCGAAAACTGGGATGCACTATGGTAAATCATCCTCGTGGGCATCGTTCACGTCACAGAACAGGCCGGAGTTTAATCAGAGATCGTGATAGGGCTACACCTACTAATATTGCCAAAGAAAAAGAAAAGGTGAATTCACTTAATTTTTGGGGGAGAAGCTGGGCTTCTAGTTTTCGTTGTTTTCTTACTATTTTGATTTATTGTACAGAAGGAAGAAAAGGCTGTGTCTACAGAAAAACCATCAACCTCAGAAACTGCTGAGAAGGAATCTCTAGAAAAGAAAGAAGAAGAAAAAAAAGACGATGAAAAGAAGGAGGAAGTTAAACCAAGAGAATCTGCAAAGAAATCAAAAATTCGGGATGATAAGACTGATGCACAAAGCAAACAAAAAGGAAAAGATGCTCTTGACAGCACTCAGGCAGAAGGAGAAGAAAAAGACAGTCGATCACGAAATAAAAAAGAATTTAAACCAACTGAGACCAAAGTTTCCAAATTATTTGAAAATTTAGAAAAGGAGGAAACGGTCCCTAGTTCAGAAGAATTGCCTGAGAAAGAACCAGGGCATAGTGAAGAAACAAAGACACGTGAACCAAAGAGCAAAGGAAGGGAATCAAAACCTAAAGAAAGAGGAAAGGTTAGTGACAAATCTAAAAACAAAGATGACAAGGTCAAAGTTTCTGAAGAAGAGAAGAATGAAGATGTTAAAAAGAAGGTTGAAAAGAAACCTGCTGTAGAAGAGGATGAAAAGGTGGGTGTTGAATTTTTTATGGAACAAAGCACTACTCACTATGCTGCGAATAATTCTGTCTACTTGATAACTGGGAGTGAGGGAGAGCTATGTAGCAACTTACTTGAGCAGCAGGCATGTGGTCGTCCTTGCGACAGATCAGCTGTTGAGGCAAACACACCCAACTTACTGAATTTGTAGAATAATTGTAATAATGACACTAGTTTATTTCATGAAGTACCGTTACACAAATTTATCACCGTCCCTTACACTAATCCCACCAATACCAAGGAATAACGAATAGTTTTGGCATAACGCCCTCAAAGCACATTAAAAGTAAGTATAGCAAGACACGTTTTTAGAAGTATGTTGCATAGTATTATGAAAGGATTATAAAAGATAAGTATCTAAACTCAAGACATTCTTGGTTTAAGTACCTACATTTTACGGAACATTCACAATTGCAAATAATTGCAGTACTTTTTGAAGTTACTGACTTCACCTGGAATTTAAGAATTCAAGGTTATTTAAGATTTCAAGGATGCGTTTTACCAAAAGCATTAGCATCAAGATTTAAATTGGAAATGTCCTTTAAGGTGGATGTACATGTACATAAGTGTTATAAGGATATCAGCCTTTAAATATTATCATTATATTCTGTAAAACCCCTTTTTTACACTTATCACCCTCGATTGATATGAACAAACTTGAGGCTTTTGTGAGTTTGTTACATAAATATGTAGAATTCACTATGTATTGGAACCGGATTTATCCACTTTTTCTGCATCGGTACAAGTTTTTGTCGAAAAATTGTGTTTTTTTGCCGCAGTTTTACAAAACTCTCTCTGCACTAGGCATAAAAAAAACTGAAAAGTCAGGAAGCACTCTTCATATCAAGTTGTAAATTGCAGGAAGAGAATGCATTGTATGTATAGGCTATTTGACCAGGCCAACGAAAAATTACGTAAAATGCGTGAACATAAAAAACGAGGTTTTACTGTATATAGACCATGCATAACCAAACAAGTAATGGCGCTCGGCGCTCTTCAATTTTCAGTTTCTGGGCAGCATGAGATTTATTTTTTTCTTCGTAAGTGTCGGTAACTCAGTAGGGAAATCACAATTGAAGCCTCTAATTGGATAACGGACCCCCCACCCCCACCTCCAATCCTCTGTCAACCAGGAACTGCCAAGTAGGCAGAATTGCAGTATTGTTCTGAAATCAGTTGAATCTTCCTTCAGTAAGCTTATCATAAGTTACATCACAGGTGCATTGGAAATTTCCAACAGAATTGCGGTTGCCAAGCACCAAGGAAAATATTTTGAAAGTTTCCTATACATGAGTGGCATTTAATAAGATTGCTCCATGAATGAAGTAATGTCCAACAGTTTCACAATGCATCAAATATTAAAGAAACTTACTTTAAATGCACACCACCTATGACCTATCTATCACAACTTATGATTAACTAGTAGAGAGAAATGTTAAGAAAAATAGGGTATAAAAAATGATAATTTTTCAAGATACATTGTTGCAAACTGGGACATGCTAGATGTATTTTTGAACAGTATTTGTGTTAATTTCTTCACGAGTGGAAAAATCATAAGGTGCATATTACATTTTAGTGAATGTAATCTTGTATTACTTATATATGTTCATATGTTCTTATCCTAAAGAATACCCGAGTAACAAAAGCAAAAGAAGATCCAAAAAGCAAAAAGGATAGTCCCCGCGATACTCGCACACCTGTACGTGACTCGTCAAACAGAACACCTGTGCGACTTCGGAAGGAAGAGGAGAGTGCAGCTACAGCGATGATGGCGGCGACGCCTGCGACGGCTCCTATGGCGGCGGCTGCACCGTCGCCGGTCGGACCGGCGGCTGCGCCGGCAGGGGCAGCAGCAGCGGCAGCTGCTGCGGCAGCGGCAGCATCAAATACTGCTGCAAATCTTAAAAAGAGGGGACGAAAGCGCAAAGAAACAGATGAAAAGGTCAAAGCAGAAGAGTAAGTAGTAAAATATTTTTTTTTTAATTTTAAAACAATTTTGTAAAACAATTCTACAACACTAATTTCCAGTTGATATGAAATGGAAAAAACCTTCCTTAATATTTTTCATCTAGAATTACACATGAATTACTTTAGAAAATTCTCTTTGCTTGTGTTCATTTCTTCTTTTTGAAAATATGGTGACGGCTCTTTTCACTTCACATTTCTTAGCATTAAGAGTGCCATGAGCTCTGACTTATTAATAGAGACCAGAAGGGTGACAAAATATTCTATTATTGTTACGATTTTGAGACTTTAAGAATAGGAAGCAGTTAAATGTACCTCTGGAGTTTTTTTTTTTTTCCCTAGGTTGGGAAGTTTTTTTTTACAACCTTATTTTGGTCTTTTTTTCTTTTTTCTCCCGACATATCCTTTGACAGGAAAAATACCTATTCTTATGTTACCTTCACCCTATGAAACAACCTGATGTAAACAAATTAAAAAATCTTTTCACCATTCTACCCTTCTGATTGGAGAACTCCTAGAGCACCACTTTAGAATAGACAATCAACCAATTCAAATTGAATAAGAGCTGTCATGCCAGTGGCATGCTCATGCAACTACTTTACTTACAATCAGTCTGCATCGGGAAGGAAAATTTCATCCCTGTCTTGAATAATATTTCCTCTCCCTCTTCTTTGAAACCCCAAGCCGGATATCATTAGCTCGTATAAATTGGTTTACGCAAAATTCGGTTCACTGTCCACAAGCTGCAACAATTTCACGAGCATTGGTGGTTAGTTTCTCCTTGCTCCTTGATGTTGAGCTCATTCCAGAGTTTCAGTACGCTGGAAATGGATATTTCAGTTAACTCTGCAGCAAGTTCAGCTATTCGCTTCACTGATAATGACAGATTCCTATGCAGTAACGAATTGAAAATGTTCAGAACAAGGTGCTTTTCGCCACTTTGAAGAAATTTTTCACTCTTGTGTTTAATTTCTGAAGGAATAGCCACACTCTCAGATTTTCTAAAATGAACTGAAGGCTTCACAGGCCAATCAGTGGTGCAGCGTAGCGTTGTTCCACAGTCCCATGAGCCTGCAGCCCACATGCCTTACCCTTCTGTCAGTATGTTTGTGGGCTAAACTGTTAGACTCATAATCTCATCTCCTAACTACATGTATACATCCAAACAGGTCTCATTTTTCAAAACCGTTGAAATAGTTTTGCTGCAAAGTTAATTTAATTTAAGATGGCAGATAAATAAATTAGTCCTTTTTTAGAGAACTATTTACTTTACTGTCAGATTTCGAAAATAGCAGAGAGCATACTGCAAGCCAGTGAAAATCATCCAAACATACGTGTATTTGAATTTCAGGTTTTGTTCTTAGCATGAACTGATAATAGAAGCTTGGACAACACTAAAGCACTGTTGCTTTTTGTCTTTCTTCAAAAGTAGAAGCTCCAGAGCCAATGTATGTTGTGTGTAATGTAAATTAGATAGTACCAATGAAGATTTTTAGATTTCTTTTATTGATATTTGCAGGCTTTGTTTGCTCACAAGAAATAATATACTACCTTTGAGGTTCATCCTACTCTCTCATCCATTTCAAGGACAAAAATCTGTACATTATACACAATAAGGGCCTTCTCATAGGTGCCACTTGTTAAAACGGTGGGAAGAATGAAAACAAAAATTGCATATTTACTAATGCCATTATGGGAATCAAATGAGTCCACATATTTCATAAGGAAGAGCATCATGTGTGAAACAAATTTGTAGTCCTCATACCAAAATTTAGTGTACCACTAAGATAATTTTCTGTAAAGAAATTGAAAAATAATCTTGTTGATAATGTGCAGAAAATAGGGTTGTCATGTGATCATCATGATCAAATTTTGTTCTGTGTAAGTTAATTGTGAATGCTGTTACATTTTCAGTGGTGAATTTTCTTTGTTTATGGGCCTTTTTTCTATACTTTAGCCAGAAATGCTTTTGCATGCCTACATTAGTAAATATAAAAAGCTGAATTCCCAGGCTCTACTTATTAAACAACTGATTCATAAATCAATCCATTTCAGTGGGAAACACTGACTGAGATTAGCTGAGCGCCAGCACTACAACTGTCTCTGTAGTGACTGATCGAGAGATCCAAGGGTTTGAGTTCTGAATGTGGTGGATTTTAGACCTGTGCTACTGTCTGGAACCGTACTGATGCGGTCAGCTGCTGTGAGATTATTTTTCCTTGGTTTCTCTAGTCAATACCAGATGAATGCCCTTAGAGCAGTACTCTATCAAACACACCATGCACTGCGAGTTTTAAGCAGGTATTTTGATTATAGACAGTACTTTACATGAAGCTTCAATATTTTCAAAATTTTCTCCAAAATACTTCAAAATTGTTTGATTAAACATTGCCCTTGCATGATGTAGAGAACTTTTCAAAGAATGACACAGGCTTCATTTTTGTTCAAATCCCTGATTTTTCGAAAATTGCAAAAGTTCAACTTATTGTTGTGTGTGAGGAGGTAGAGGGTGTCTTCTACAAATAAAATATGTAAGTTACATATTTTTCTTCTTTGAAAAATCTGTTTTTCAGACATTTTCAAATAATGCCACGTACAATTTTTCAAAAATACGAAGGTTGCTTTTTATGTTTCGGGATTTAGCAACATTGGTGTTGCAATCTGGCAACTGACAGCTCTATCGTAAAGTTGGGTGTTTTGAGGTTATACATACTCAGAACGTTTTGACATTCGAGCGCTATTTGTGTTGTTTACAGTAACTTAAAAGATTCATCTTGGCCCAAAAATGGAATTAAATAGTGAACATTTTTGTGTGATTATTTTTTACAACTTTAGACGTAGATTAACTCAGCAACAGTGCTTGGATGAACTTAATTAAATTTTTGGCGATGAAGCTCCATCAAGGACCAGTGTTTATCGATGGTATGGTGAATTCAATCGTGGCCGTAGTTCACTCCAAGACGAATTTCGCGAATTTTGTCCAAAATCAGTTGTTCTGGAAACCATTGAAGCTGTGCGTGAACTGATATTGCAAGATCGTTATGTGACATATCGTGATATTGAGACAACCTTAGGCATTAGTGGGACCAGCATACATTCAATATTGCATGAACACTGCCAAACAAATTTTTTCCCGTTGGATCCCACATAATTTGTCAATCGCTCAAAAAAAGGCTTTTGTTGATTGGTCGAAAGAAATGCTCAAAAAATGCGTTCGCGGTACTTCGAAACATGTCTAAGACATCGTGACAGGTAACGAATCGTGGATTTATGCGTATGAGCCCGAAAGTAAACAGCAGTCGACTGTATGGGGGTTTCAAGATGAGCGAAATCCAACAAAAGTTGTTCGCGCACGAAGCACTTTCAAACAGATGGTCGCCAGTTTTTTCGAAAAAACGGACATGTAACCGTGCCACTAGAACAATGCAGAACAGTCAATTCTGAGTGGTACTCAACGATTTGTTTGCCAGCTGTCTTCCAAGAAATCAAGAAAACCAACCGTCGAAGACAGATCACTCTTCACCACGACAATACGAGCGCTCACACATCGGCTCAAACAACTGCATTTTTGAGCACCCAAAACATCGATCTGATGACTCATCCGCGGTGTAGTCCTGACTGGGCACCGAATGACTTCTTTTTATTCCCGTACGTAAAAAAAACAAATTGAGAGGTCACGGTTTTTCGACACCTAAAGAAGCGGTTGCTGCATTCAGAATGCATGGTTTGGAGATATCTCAGAGTGGCAAAAGTTTTTCGACAATTGGTTCAAACACATGTAAAACTGTATAGATCTTAATAGGGAATATTTTGAAAAACAAAGTGATTTTCGATGATTAATACTTGTTTTTGTTCTCTAATCCTGAAATATAAAAGGCAACCCTCGTATGTGGAATATTGCTTGAAATGTAGACAAATTTTAAAACTTTTTTTTTTCCCTCAAAAACTGTTCCAATTATATTTTCTTTGTGTGTAGAAAAGAACAATAAAGAGTGTTGCTGGTTGGTTTTTCATTTAACTAATTCATTTAATTTTAGTTAGCTCTAAATTTTCGAAAATTACAGGAGTGCACTTTTTTCGAGGTCTTCACACGAGGATATTGGAGATAGAAATTCTTTTCTTTGTGAAATGTGTTCATAAAAAAAAGGTATAAGAATAACGTCATGAACAATTTATTGAAAGAGTAGTTTTTGCATGAAATAAGCAATTTTTAAACAATTTTGAAAAATTATTTTCTCAAACAGCTCATCATTTTTTCTTTAAATTTTTTCGTCGATAGAAAAGAGCTGTAAGACTGCGCTGGTCCCATTGCAAACTCTGTATTTTCATAAATTGTAAACAACAAAAAATAATCATCTCTTATTGATCTGTTTCCTTTTCTAAAGATAGTTGTAATATAGATAGATATAATTTCTAAAGTGTCCTAATATTTTTTTAAATAATACTTTCATCTGTTCTTTTAATCTCTCGCCTCTGTACTTCAGCATCTTGTTTCGTATTTCATCTCTAGGTTTTTAATACAGGTGTTCATTGCTGTATTTGTCACTCTGTAAAGATCCACAGCAAAACAGGTTTGCTTGCTTGATGTTTGGTCTAAAGCCCTGGATGAAGGAGAATACCTGGATTACGCATTAAGCATTTGAGGAAGTCTCACACAACCATCTAGTTCACAAGTCCAAATCTTTCGAAATACTAGGAAAATTGTTCGAATGGATACGAGAATATCTTTCTGGCAGAACTTTGCTGGTAAAATTCTGGTACAAAGCTTATCATTGAGACGGGTTAGTAATGGGGTACCTCAAGGATTGGTCTGGCCTTAGGATTGCTACTATACTTCAACTCTGCCCCTGACAGAACTCCGCGGTCGACAGCTTCATCCATTCGGGAGCTTGAACGTCACCGCAGGGTCGTCACTAAGGTGACGTTCACGCTCCCGATTGGATGAAACCGTCAACAGCTTATTCCTGCCAGGGACAGAGATGCATAAATCG